ACACACACACACACACACACACACACACACACACACACACACACACACTACAAAAACAGAAAATCACAAAGAAGTGTCAAGTAAACAAATGACTAATTCACACACAGATAAAATAACACATCATGCCAGTAAGCACTACCATCATATTTATAAAAAGTTTAAAATGAACATTAAAGCCAAGCTTAAATTTTTGCATTTAAGCAAATGTTAATGCACCAGAATACAATCAGGCATTGCACAACTAAATTTAGATAACGTTAGTGATGTGAGTATCAGTCACATGGAGGCAGGGCTTAAAAGCCTGAATTTTGCCTGAAACTCTCAGACTGAAGAAGTCTCTTGGAGGAGAGACGAAACGTTTCATTAAAGAAGAACCCGTCCAGAAGACCTATACAATTCTTTCCCTTTTGATTTGAGTTACATGTACTGAAATCGATTATTTTTTACACTGAATTGTTTAGGTTAATATTCTTAACATTGTGCCGGCTTGGCCTGGTGGCTGCCTGGTGGGGCTTGGTTCCTCCAGCCCTGTCGGGCCTTGGCCTGGGGGAGGGGTGCGCCCTGGGGATCCCCGCTTCTGTGTCCATGCCTGGATCTGTTCTGGAGTGGCGGGGCCCTGTGGGTTCTGCATGTGGTTGCTGATGGGGCTCTCCTGTGTTCCTCTCTGGTGGGGTGGGTGGGCAGTTCTTGCTGCACGGGTGGCCTTGGGGGCTCGGTGCTTGGGGTCTCTCTCGGGGTCGGTGGCTCTGGTCCCCCTTATGTCTGCCTTGAGTCTTGGGGGTCGGGTCTGTGGTCCTCCACGGTCACTATTAAATATCCCACTGGAGAAATCTTGTATTTATATGCATGCTCACAAACCGCACAAAAATAGGTATTCGGATCCTGAGGTTTCTGACATCACTGAATGTATATGATTGTATAAATGTGTGTGTGTGTGTGTGTATGTGTGAATGTATGTATGTGTGTGTGTGTGTCTCTGGTTGTGTGCATGGGTTTGTGGGTATTGTGTATACTACTTAGTGAGATTGTAATTATTGTATGCATGTATGGATGTGTGTATATGTGTATAAATGAGCATATGGGTYTATGTACGTGTGTATGGCTGATTGTTGGGAGTTTTTCTTCATTTTTTGATGGTCAGAGGTCGGGTGTGTTGTCTTGTGTTATTGGTGTGCACTTCACGTCGTCAAAGTTCTATCAGTTTCTCTCTACAGTACTTACATTTCTCTTTTTCTTCTTTWCTCTAGTATCATTTAAAAAAAAGGTCACTAATGATGCAGAAATTAAGAAACTAACATTCAGTTTTGTTTTCTACTGAAGTGGCCAAAAAAAAGTTAATAAACTTAAACCATTTAAGGCAACCGGTTTCCTCAAATTATTTGAGTTCAACTAACTTATCAGGTTTTACAGTGTAGCTAAAAGCAGATACACTTGTGCACATGAATGACAAGAGACCCTGTTTTCTCTGACCCTTATGGTTGTTTGGAAAAGGAGCCGAGGATCTACAAGATAATAAAAAGAAACATCAGGTACTAATTGTTGAATACAGCTTGACATCTTGTAGTTTTTTTTTATAACAAACACTTAATTCTCTAAAATCAGTTTTCTTTTGGCGTAAAGAATGTTTCACACCAGCAAATAGTAATTTTTTAAAATCTACACATGTAAATTTTACATGGAATAACATTTCAATAATTGTCCACCAGTGCAGTCCAACAATTTCCATTTATTAAAAACGGAAACATTTAGAAAATAATAGCAGTACAGTAAGGTGCATGTTACAGTTTCACTTTAAATAGTGGTTGACATCCGTTGCCAGCGATGTTACACAGAGTAATGTTGAGACTTACAGTCAAGGATGTTCCAGTCAAGAAGAATACTGAAAAATATCACAAATTTACAAATTACAATACAATGTATGGGCAACACAGGAATGCTGTAAAGACGGGAGTGAAGAAAGACCAAACTTAGTCTTTATTTCAAGTTTTGGTTTTCCTAATAACTTTGTGTGTTTTGGTTAGGGCGGTGAAACCCATTTCAATTTTAGAGAGTATTTTATGCTCTGCAGACCAAACGTTCAACAACTGAAGTCACACAGGACACTTTGATGTCTTCTGACACGAGCAACCTTAAAGAAAATGCAAAAAAATAAAATAAATAAAAGGCAAAAGAAATGAGAGGAAGTCTTAAAGAGAGACGCAGCAGTTTACTGAAATCTGTTGCCACCGCTGAAGCCAAAATAACATCTCACAGGCATGAGGCCAAAGGCAACAGTGGCAACCAAACAGAAACAGCTGAAAGCTCTGAAAACAAAACTGTTCTTTAAACAAATCAACTCAGGACCTTTTTTCAGATTTGTGCTTGTGAGCGTAAAGCACAGTCCTCGTTTCTGCCAAAATGAACAAGAAGCACGTTTTCATCCAGTTCTCCAAGACGGAGACAACACTGAACTTGTCAGGATTCCGATTTAGTCCACAGGGTCTGAAGACAAAGTTTTCTGAGAGCTACATCAAACCGTCAGCTTTTAGAAATAGTCACGATGTCATGGCAGAGAAACAGAAACAGACAGAGAGGCTACAGCAGAAAGAAGGGATCAGCTGGTCTTCCCAGCATGTTTTTACATTACAGAGGTCTGTGCTGATAGTTGTTTAAACAGTATATTACAGAATTATAAACATCATCAAATAGTTTCTTTTTAAGGCTAACTACTGAAAAGAAAGTTATCAGAGAGAAAAACAAAACAAAAAAAAGGTTCCAGTAGAAAAACCTGCTTCGTGTGCCAGGGCTGCTGTTTCTTTTTTTTTTTAGTGCGTGCATTTTTACATCCGAGCTCAGCCGACTCACGTTTGTTTCCTGGCTGGAAATACAAACATTAAATCTACTCAACACATCAAGAAAAAAAAAACAAAAAAACAACGCAATACTGTTCACAACAAAACAAGTTAGTCTGATTTAAGATGCTCAGGTTGATAAAGATCAGTCGTGTATGGATTTGAAAGATTTGCCTCTGGTCGGACCAGTCTGCTACGTTAAGGCCAGAAGGAAATCAAAGCCAAACTGTAATGACATCCCATAATATACAAGCAGGAAGGAAGAATACACACGATAACCAATACTTCTTAAATTAGTAAAAGGCGATGGTTGGATGACCGAGGAGCACCTAGGTTTTTGGACAGCCTGTGTGCAGTTAGTCGACGATGTGGACAGATGTCCCGTAGGCAGGAGACACTGGGCGTACCCCCGTCAACACGGAGCTGTCCAGGAGGGAGGACACAGGGACAGCAGGAGGAGGAGGAGGCTCTTCTTACAGTTTGTGTCATGGGTGGTTATCATCATCTCCTGTGAAGACTTTGATTTTCCTTTAGGAGCTCTCCAGAGCATCTAGAACTTTCATAATCTGCTGCTTGATGACTTTGGTGGCGTCGCCTGCGTTGGGTATCAAATATCTGAAAGAAGAGAAGAAGACCCTGTCAGCTTAAAGAAAACTATAAGAAACCTGTCATGAGTGACCTTTATTAAACATAAAATGGTTGGAAACCTTTGCAGAGTCATATATATAGTTATCATTTTACACATTTCATAAAATATGGTTATATGAGCCTAAACCCTGGCCAGCAGCTAAATATCCCAGCATTAGGAAGGTAAGATTTTGTAAAAAATTGTTTATCTTATACATAAAGACTAAAAAATAACAGCTCTTTTTGCATGTAGTTGTAGCTGAAAGATGACACCAGCCTCAAGTGCAAATAATTACAAGATTTCAGTAACACACTCTAAAATGTAACTTGTGTTTTACTTTTGTAGACTTAAGTGGCCGGTCCAGCAACTGCCTGAAATTCTAACATACATTAAATTTATTCTAAAGCTCATTAGTACGATGGGATTTATTTTTGTAATAATCTAAGCTGACAAAATGACAGTGTTTTGGTTTGTATAAAAGGTGTAAAAAAATTCGACAGCTACGTGCAACACCTGCGCAGTTAGTTAAAACTGARATTTTATCTGATTTGCTTAGAAACAAATCTATTAACCCGTCTTAGTAGTTGACTGTTTGAATTTGAGCTGATTACCTGTCATGAACGAAAGCTGTAATCCATTCTAATGAATTATTTGTAATATTTCTTTTAATTTGGTTTTAAATAAAACATCTGACACGTTGTGTAGATGATAACGGCTCTTGTCCCCTTTCTGTGGTGTTTAAAAGTTTGTCTTCTGATTTGATCAGTTTCTGAACTGGAAAGGTAAACTGTTGATAACTGAGTTATTTTGCTAACGCAGGCGTTTACCAATGCAAGGGTCGGTCGTAAAGATTTCACCCAAAAGAGCTGAGTTCACTGAACAAAATCAACAAAAAGGAGGTGGCATGAAGCAGATAACTGTGAAGGAGATGAAGGGAAGAAGTGAAACGTTTCCACCTAATAGTGTGCAGGCAACAAAAATTACTGAGAAGATCCTGAACTTTACTATCATGGATGGACAGCAGCTCTCAGCTGCTCATTAACCATATGGAGCCACGCTGCCACATGGTAAACTGAAAATATTTGTTGAAGACGGCTCTAGCTGGACTGAAAGTGTGAAGCTGTTTGATTTATTTAAGGTTGCTTTACTGCTGCAGTTAATAATAACAAATTTGTAATTCAGTAGCTTTACATCTGTGTTTAAAATAAAATAGGAAAGAAATGTTTGTCAAAAACCTGAGATAGCTGCAGTGGTATCAGAAGTGAAAAAGTGGATCCCTAATAATAAATGGTATTGTAATATAAATTTTTTAAAAGATCACTCCCTGTTTTATTTACTTATGAGCACCTTTCAACTGCGGAGATCTCCACTCCTGCTGAATTGTTGCTCCCAAACTTGAAGGTAATAAGTTCTGGATGCTTCTTTTTGGATGTGATCTTCACCACAGAGCTCAGAGGTTGTCTGGACTGGATGTAAGCAAACCCCTTCCTGGAGGCGATCTCCCTCAGGCAGTACATGTGGGTCGCTGTGATTAACAAGTGACTGACACACACACACACACACACAAACACAAACACACACACACCAGAATCAGTGTCAGTCTTCCACATTTAATGATTCAGCAGCTCCTTCCGTTTTAAGGAAGTGGGAGGAGTTAGGTTTAAAAAGAAGGTGATGTTCAAGTGTGATGCAAAAGCAGAAATTTTCACCCCGAGTCATACAAACAGGAAGTYGAGCTGCTCACCTGGGGAACATGTGACCCGTTTCTTTCACCTCATTGCATGGAATGTGATGTTTTATATCTGGTTTATTTATCCAGGTCTGAATGTTCACGATCTCCTTCCTGTCATCGTCCGACATGGATGAGCTGTCGATCTCATCTGGGGGGGGCATCAGATGATCATTATCTAGTTGATCAAAAATCACATGTTCAAACTGTATGGGACCAGATCACCTGTGTCGTACTCTTCTTCGTCACCAATACTGAAGACGGGCTTCACTCCTCGGTAAGGTTTGCCAACTCGATCGCTGCTGCTCACGTGTCTGTTTACAGAAAGGCAGGTCTTTGAATGAAGGTTGTGATGATGTAATTGTGTTAAAATTAAAATAAAATAAATAAAACGGGTCACGGTGAGCTTGCACACAAAAAGCAACAACATGAAAATTTCTTAGGCGGCAGTTGTGAAAATCGTGAGCTCCTTACTGGTTATGCTGTTAAAGAAAAAGTTAAAAGAGACATCAGTTCTTGTATGATATTCAGGGTTACTTGTAAACTAAAGTGTTTTTATTTGTGAAACCCTGTTTATCATCTAAGAAAACAATTAAATGGAAGGACAGACTTTAATGTGTCTCAGAAGCAGACAGGTGGAGATGAAGTTTGTCCTCAAAACACCTCAGGAACGACAGGATGTAAAAATGACTTTTTTAAACGCCGCAGCGATTCCAAATGTTAGTAAAAAGCATGAAGGAGATTTTTATGGCGCGGAATGAGGGCCAAAATTAAGACTATTGTGCAACCAGTGGTTGCTATATGCTTGTAGCAGGAGGTTATATCTATTCCTAAGCCAGCTATTGATCTTGTAGGGGTCACCTCGAGTCAAATTATCAAGGAACTGACTTAGACTCTCAGTCCTCTGATGGGCCTTAGAGTGGAAAAAAACTCTGTTCCACTTAGAACTGTATTTAGGCCACCCAAGGCCACTTTCCTTCTAAATCAGATAAAAACAGAAGAATCTTCTCTTATTTGATTTAGTGTTCTCTTAACTGAAAGTATTACACGTTTTGATAATCAGAGAATGTTTATCAAAGTTACAGGAGAAGAGAGGACAGATCTCTTTTCTCCCTCAGTATGATTTCAGCTATGTATGGTTTTTCTGTGGGAAAAATTCTTATTTAACTAAAACAATCTTTATGGTTTAAGTTGATGAAATATCAATGTTTTACTTGTCTGAATCATATTTGCAAATGTTTTGAACTTGAAGCAATTCATTTTTCTTTCAGTTATGTTTTAAATAAATGCTCATCTGATAATGAAATGGGTCATGAAATGTTTTGTTCTGAACCACACAGCAGCAGCAATAATCTTTGTTTTGTTTCAGGAGGCACAGCGAGTTCTGAAACTAACACTTTCCTTGATAATTTATTTTCTAATATAACCTTCTGAAGGGCGGACCATAGATTCTCTAAGCTTTAGGAACTAACAGTTTCCGCCTGTCCAAGAGAGACAGTAAGGTGACGGACCACCGTCAGTCACTGTGACAGCTAGATTCTCTCCGGGGAATCAAAAGCTGAAAACTGTGTCAGGTTTGGCCCCCTCACGCCAACGGGGAAACCTCACAGTGTGGAAAACAAACGCCTGGTTTATCCACTTCACAAACTCTCCAGACGGAAGTTTTATTCTGAAACCTGGGTTCCAGTCAAGGCTTGGTCTTCTTCTAAGGCAGACGTGGACGTAAACGAATCAACAAAACACGCCTTCGGGTCCCCTGTTCGACAGTCTTGAAGACAGATTCTCCAGCAGCGCCCCCACCTACCTGACAGGTGACAGAACATCATCTCAAGGTAAAAGCTGGCTGTGTGTGATGTTGAGATCTGACCGAAGCTGAGCATAGAATACTTCACCCTTCTGGTTAAACCCACATTATTTAAGATAAAAGTATAAGAAAGCTAACATCTTTCTTCCACCCTTTTTTCTTAAACTCTTCCTTGCCAACTCCTAAGATAAACAGCCTCAAATGTTTGGTATTTAACATCTAAACTGACGTTTGTGTTCTATTTAAGTGTGGTTAACAACTAAGAAGTTAAAAGCTTGTTATTGTTGGTCTCAAACTTTTATAGGAAATTAATTGTTCACAATCAGGTGTACTCTAGTCAATTTTGTATGATTTGTAAAATAAATGATCGCATATTATGGTTCAAATCGACATTTACTGACAGTTACTTTTTGTGTCCATTCATTTTTGCACTAAAGGAATGTTTACCCAAAATAAAAAGAGATCCCTTGCTAATTAAATTACTCTTACAACCTTGTTATAAGAAGTGTAAGCTGAACCCTTACAATCTGATTAATGATAGGCCAGCGCTGCTAACTGAGCAGCTGGCCCCGATAACTGAGAGGCCAGTGCTGGCAAAAGAAAATACTGAATTCATTTGTGTTAGCATTGGAGAGGCTAGCATCTAGCAAATTCATATCTAATAAAGTAGGTTGGAAGTCTAGGCATGCTACTCGCTAGCTTCTTCAATGCTAATGCCAGCTTATCCATGCTAGTCGCTAGCCTCTCCAATGCTAGGGCCAGCTTACTCATGCTAGCTCCTAGCCTCTCCAARGCTAACAAATGAATCGTCTCCTTTTCTTTTGCCAGCGCTGGCCTCTCAGTTGTCTGGGCCAGCTGCTCAGTTAGCAGTGCCAGCCTATCATTGATCAGATCAATAGCTGACTTAGGAATAGATATAACCTCCTGCTACAAGTATGTAGCAACCACTGGTTGTGCAATAGTCTTAGTTTTGGCCCTCATATCACACCATAGATTTTTAAATCCAGCCTGCCCTCGCAGTATTGGAACATGTAGCGTTATATTATGAGTGAGCAGATTAGGCAGAGATGCTGCATGCTTTAATGTGTCTGCTACAGTCCCAGAGGGGCAGCAGGGGCCTAAAGCCAGTGAGCATGCTGTGAGACATGACTCCATGTGTCAGAGCTCTTACCGATCTGGAACCACCTTCTCTGGCCAGGGCAGATTGAAAGATATTCTAATGTGGAATAAGGCAGAAGGGACTTTATTTTATAAACTTACATCATGTATTCTGGGTAAAGATTTACCCTAAATGAAAAAATAACAGGCAAAATCTAAAAAGCAAATCATTAATCCCCTGATCCCCAACATTTTAACGTCGAAGCAAAACGCAGCATTTGGAGCTGCGCGGAATGTTTCATTGCGAAACAGTGTTCCGCCAGGACCCTTTTGCTAGCGCACCCCATGGAGGACACTAGTGGAGACTGGGGAGACACGGCCGAAACTTACAAGAGTAAAATGAAGACTTGGATGAAGGGGGACGGAGAAAAAGGCAAAGACAGTCAAAAGCCTGGGCTCATTTCTCAACTTTCTCTTCATAATATCCCACAGATTCTCTCTGGGGTTCAGGTCAGGAGAGTTGGCAGGACAATTGAGCACAGTAATACCATGGTCAGTAAACCATTTACCAGTGGGTTTGGCACTGTGAGCAGGTGCCATGTCGTGCTGAAAAGTGAAATCTTCATCTC